CAATCGGAAGCAGAGTTTATAAAACGAATGGCAAAGAAGAGTGCCGGGATGATTGGGAAATTCGTGTACATGAAGCCGATAGTCGTTTATATTACGTTGTACCGAAGATTGGATACACAAGATGGGTGAGCGATGTTCTTTGTCCGGGAGCAGAAGAGCGAATTGATGAAAAAGGCAGAGTTTATTTTGTTTTCGGAATTTTATCATCTTGGGTATTAGCACCTTACGATCATTTATGTAATATATATCATTTGTTTAAACAATATAGTAGAGAGATCCGTTATCTTTCATTAATAAACGACACGCCCAGTCTTACGATTGTTTATGGAGAAATGGCAGATGACTATGAGCCGTCAGCAACACAAAGAAATTACCCCTACGGGTGGCAGCATCATTCGTTTCCCCACGGCCACAACTATACCGTTGACCATATAAAGAAATGTAAAAAGTTTGTTTATTCGGAAACAGCAATCTCGAAAAAGGTAAATGACCTACATGCTAGAGTAACTTGATAAATTTCAAAACCTGTGAGCGCAAACTATAACCTATCAGCCTGTTGCAATGGGTTGTTCACATGATTGCCTAATTGTTCAAAAAATCTGGTGTGATCGCTAAACCAGCAGAAACTATCGTACGCTACGATAATTTTTTCAAACTCTGAAAAATTCTAAATTATTATGCAACGCACTAACAAACAAATCATGAATAGCTAAGTCGGTGATGCTATTTTTACGCAGTTATTTTCTCTTCAAAGGTAAACTTCATAGATACAACTTACACGATGTATCGACATTTACCTTGGAAAATTCAAGCATTTCGGCACATGTGCAAAACTAATGCAGCATATGATCAATTAAGAATAATTGTACGTCACGATCATTTATATGAAGATTCCTTTAAACAAATAATGCATTGTGAACCATCACAATTACGCTGTAGAAAGATAACTGTTGAATTCCAAGGTAATTGCTTGATTTTAGAATTGATTTCATTTAACCTAGCTTTTCCTTTATCTCAACCAATAGGTGAGACGTGTCTATGGGATAATGACGAAGCTGTACGTCAATGGTTTATTACTTTAACTCGTGGATTATTTTCTTCTAACATGAAATTGTTTACACGACCATATTCAACCCAGTTCGCTATTGATCTATCATCGCGTACATTAACAGACTATTTATTGATGTATAGGTAAGTACCTTTCTCCAGATACAGTAAAATATGAACTAACATCATGAGATTATCTGCACTGCTCCTGATTTAATATTCGTAAAGTATCGCAGTTTTCTAATTAATATCATCCTTCTCATCAACTCATTCCGGTCAGATGTTATATTGCTTAATTAAGTACAGTAACAAACTAAAATTGATTTAGAATGTAGTTAGATATCTTTTTATCAACATAGATTTGTTGGACGTCTTCTTGGAATGGCATTATATTATGGTCGATTTATTTATCATGAATTATCGTGCTTTTTCTATAACTATTTATTGGATAAAAAAGATTGTACTGCTGATATATTACACCAAGATTTTAGGTCGGGAATAGCATATCTTGAAAAAACGAACTTTGATATTGATGGAGGCCTTGATTTGAAAATTTGGTTCTACGCTCTGGATAGTCACATTAGTGATTATTTGAAATTCAATCCAACAGGTACCACAATCATATTAACTGAAGAAAATAAACATATATATATTGATTCATTAAAAAAATGGCAATTGACAAGAGATGTGGAAGAACAAGCTATAGCTGACGGGTTCGCAGATGTAAACAAAGTTTGCTCATATGCTTTCGGTAGTTATTTTACTTTAATTTAATTATAGATAATTTCAGTTGAATGGATTCAAATATTTGATTCAATCGAACTCGACTTGTTACTTTGTGGAATATCAAAATTTACTGTTATTGATTGGGAACGTAATGAATTCATGTCTATTGATAAATATCGTATTCAATGGTTTTGGCAATTTATTTGGGATATAACGGAAAAACAATATATGAAGCTGATGCAAATTATAAAAGAGCAACGTTTGTTAACTGTCAACGAGTTTGTTGAACTACTAAGTAATTGTTTCTTTCTTCTCAGAAGTACTCGCTCAAAAGAAACATATGTTTTTCTCGAATATTTAGATTCCTTGACTATCCAAGAAACATCTATAGTGCATAGGAAAACTAAAAGGAAATCAGCCAACAAGTGAGAAGCTAACAAACTGGATGTTAAAAAAAATTGATTAATTGTGTCTCCACAGATAATTTTATTCTTCATAGTCTAATGGATTACTCTCGTTTCGTCTCATCTCATTTCGTCCCACACTTGTTTCGTCTCGTTTACATTTTCTATCAATTATATTCATTTTCTTCTTTTAATGCTTCGATAAACTCATAAATATGTGGATGGACACTAAAATGCTGTTTTAATCGATTATGAAAACCTTCGACATGATTATTTGTTCGCGGCTGATCAGTAATAATTAAATCATGAACATTCCAAATAAACGATGGAAATATAGCGTCATCATCAACATATGTATCTGTTATATAATCATTGAATGTTGTGGCTGCTGGATCATCTGGTGTATATTCTGACATAATATTAGCCCATGTTTCACTAACAATATGTAACGGTATCAGCGCTAAGCCAAGTGCACCACGAAACCAATTAATTGAACTTTCTGTACATTTCGAATCACTAACTTTTAAATATGATATTAAGCCACCTGTCTGTATACGTCTCCACAAGCTTTGCGAATAGTGGAAGAAACAACCAGAAATTTTACAATTTGGAAATATATTACTCACTGCATTAAATGTTGCTTGTTCGAAATCGGATACAGCACGTTTTGGTTCAACAACAATATTATATTTATTTTCTTGTTCAATAATTGTTTTCAATATTTGTTCATATGTTTTACCACTTTTATCTGATCCCTAGTGAAGCTTTTTTTCTCAAGCACATGGGCAAGCACATACCTCAAGATTTGTCTCCATGCACATGAATTTCTTACTCATGCAAAACGCTTGAGGTATGTGCTTGACTTTCTTGTCTCATGCGCTTGAGTTGCTTGAAGTATGCGCATGAGGGGAGAAATATCTAAAACAATGTGCATACCTCAA